TTTGGGGGGGGGGGGCAGGTGAAGCGAAGGAACAAATGTGAGTTTAGTGCCGTGCCTTGTGTTCACTTTTTTGGCCGAGGTTACCACGGTACGAGGTTGAATTTCTGATCATGTAGACAACAGATTTCAAACGCAGCTTTCCAATAGCAGGGGGCAGAGCAGTGGAGTTCGACTTCTTTGCTATTAAGCCTGGTCTGTCCATGCTTTCCCCTTCTCCAGTGACCAGTTACAGCTGCACCAGGCATTAGAACAGTGACAACATTTTTTATCCTTTGCCAAACTTCCTGCAGTAGTTAGCATGAGTTAGAAGTAAAGAGTTGCTCTTAAGATCTGCAAATACAGGTCTGTTGGTGGCACATCTGTTTTACTGATTTTCAAATAAGAATGTCAAGCTAGGAATAGGAAGAGTAAAAATACCTGTTAAGTATTCTGTTCCATTTTACACCAGCTCTGTACAAGCTCATAAATGCTTATAATTGCAGAGAAGAAAACAAAGGGAATGACAGATGCCATAAAGAACTGGATTATGTTGAGTTCTGTTGTTGTAAATAGAGTGTGCAAGGAATAGCTTGTTTTTGAGGACCAGGGAAGCAGTTGTCTTGCATGACTTAATTTACTTGCTTAGAAATTCAATAAGGTGCTTAAACATTCAAGTAATCTCTTCATTGACTTCAATAAGAGTTTTAGGTGCCACCTTGTCCAGCTTTCTGCTTAACTTTACATTAACACAGTTATCCACCTCTCTCATTTGCTTAAAGTTAGCAAATGCCTTATTCCCTTGCTAACTAGAGACTGAATTATTGAAATATAAGTGCAGAATATATAATTATAGGATTTTACAATGAGATTGAGAAGACCTATTAAGTGTTTTTCCAGTGTCGGGCTTTTGAGAATTGACTCCCAAGTACTCTGGATTGTATCAGAATGTGTTCACTGTAAGGAGCACTTTGTTTGGACACATTGCATGCTGAATGAATGTCAGGAAATTTCCTGTGGAAATGGTGTTTCCTAAAGAGAGTTTGATCTTGTGTGTTCAGACTGCATAATTGTGATGTATGTGTTGTCTGAATTTGTTGTGGCTGAAGGATAGCACTCTCAAAATTTAGAGAGGTTTTTTATATTATAGTAAAGCATCTAAATAGACTCATCCCATGTTTAAGACTTCAACATGTATTATTGGCAACTACAACTTGGCATAACTGTAAGGCTTTCATATGACATATGTAAATACCTGGAATTTCAGATTATATGCTGCTGGCAAGGTATTTTTGATTCATTTAGTTACATTACCTTGAGTGAAATGGGTATTTTTTATGCATCATAGATACCATGAATGGAAGCTACAAAATATGCAATTAAAAACCAATTAAAAGATTCTTGGAGTCTTGAAGGTTCCTAGCTAGGATTAACATGTTTTATAAAAAAAACAGTCATTGTAGAACAAAGTCCAAGCAATTAGCTGCAGAATTGTAAAGATTTAAACTACTACTTATGATTCAAAACTTACCTTAAGATGAAGTGGGGTGAAGAACACCACCATGTAATAAGGTTATCTGAATAGTTTTAATATGCTGTTCTCTGTGTAGACCATATCTTTCCTTTGGAACCAGTTTTAAGCATGGGATTATTTTCAATCCTGTAGAAATTCACCATTATGCAGAAGATTTTTCCTAGTATATTTAGTAGCGTTATTTGCTATATTAGCTAATCTTGCATGATTTTTTTCTTCCCTCCTTTAAGGTATTTCAAAACCAGGTCATTTTCTTCACTGAGTTTTTAAATCCATACAATTACCATATTTACTTGTTGCTAGGAACAAGCAGCAAAGGGAACAAGTGGTGGTGGTCACAGGTGAGAGGGGCCAGAGTGGGGGACAAGGGGCAGGCTCCTTGCTCTGCCACCACCACCTGTTCCTTCCCCTCCTTCCTCCTTTAGCTCTCCCTCCCCCGCCCTC